AGGTGAAGGAGTAGCAGGTGGCCGGCTTAGGGTGTGGTGTTGAGGGTGGCAAACCAGGAGCAGTGAGATAAGGAGTGGCAAAAAATAGAGCTGTGGAACTGGATTAACATCGCGGAGGAGGGAGGGAGCTTGCTGACTGAGTCTAGAAGATATTTTTTTAAAAACTAGAGAGTACAGTCTCAGGAAAGAGGGAGAAAACAGCAGAGGAAACTACACAAATTGGAGGAACAGAGTGGACCTATGTGAGGGCGAGGACACGCACAACACTGGACCCCAGCAGCCGAGAGCCTCTGCACCAGCCTTAGAGAGTGGGGTGAGACCAGACAGCAGCAACTCAAGCCACTGGTAAAAAAGATACAGGAAGAGCCTAGAGGGAACCTGGCTTGGAGCCCCGTGTGGGATAGTGTACCCACCAAACTAGAGGAGAAAAAACAAAGGGGGCATGTTTTCTCTCTCCCAGATCACCCTGCAAAGGATCCTGTAATAAGCTAACAGAGAGCAGACACCATTTTGGACATACATAACAGCAGCAGCGCCAGCTCATGGCCGCACCCAGCAACCAGCCAAGCGGAGACTCCTGAGTCTGGTGGGGAGAACAGACAGGGGCTGGGTGCTTGTGACTGTGGGAGGCTTGTGTGCTGGAACCGTGAAAACACTGAGGCTGCAAGGGAGGACTCAGGGTGTGGCTGGGACTCTGGGTAGTCACTGTGGGAGGCTCCACATGATCAGGGCTCCCTGGTTACCTGGTGAGGGACACTGCTGGGGAACCTGAGCTTCACTGAGGACTGCACAGACAGCTTTGTGTGGTCCTTGTGGCAGAGTGGACAAATAATAGACTCACTGAGTCTAGTGCCCAGGCACTGGTATTTTTTGAGGAGAGGAGCTCAACCGAGTCTACGCCTATAGACAAAAAGAAACCTCCCCTCTGATTAAAAAAAAAAAAGAAGAACATTTACCACACCAAACTTGGGTGTGTCACCTCAGATACACCCTTCACCCTGGAGCACTGAACACAACTCCCTGGCCTCACTCACAACACACCTATAGATATTCCCTGAAAGCAGACACCACTAATGCACTCAGATGTATTCCAAAGATAAAAGCTGCCACAGTGGAAAAAACAAAGAAAAACCAATGAGTATCTCCACAAATACTGAATAACAAACACACCAATTCAAGAAACAAGAATAAGGAAGACAAAATGACATGCCCAAAAGAACACAACACCTCAATACAAGATTGAGAAGATGATGAGATTGAAGAAATGCAAGAAATGGAATTCGAAAAATTGATCATAGGATTACTCAGAAGTAATCAGTAACTAATGAAATCCATACATGACATGAAAGAAAACGAAATCTTGGAAATGAAGAATTCAACAGAACAAATAAAAAATGCAGTGGAAAGCCTTAACAACAGAATCGATGAAGCAGAAGAAAGAATATCCAATTTATAAGACAAAGCACAGGAAATAATACAGTCAGACCAAACACAAGAAGAAGAAATTAGAAAACTAAAAAACACTGTTGGGAATCTACAGGATACTATCAAACAGCCAAACATACAGGTTCTAGGAGTTTCTGAAGGCATGGAAAAAGAGAAAGGATTAGAAGGCCTTTTTAGTGAAATAATAACAGAAAATTTCCCCAATTTGGAGATGGAAAGGGACATCCAAGTACAGGAAGAACATAGAACCCCTGATAGACATGAGCAGAAAAGATCTTCATCACAACACATTATAATCAAACTCTCTACAGTAAAGCATAAAGATTCTAAAATGTGCACAAGAGAAACGCCAGATTACTTTTAGACAATCTCCAATTAGACTCACAGCTGACTTCTCATCAGAAATCCTATAGGCTAGGAAAGAATGTCAAGGTATATTACAAGTCTTAAGAAAAAAAAAAAAAACTGTCAGGCCGGTGCCGCGGCTCACTAGGCTAATCCTCCACCTTGCGGCGCTGGCACACGGGGTTCTAGTCCTGGTTGGGGCGCCAGATTCTGTCCTGGTTGCCCCTCTTCCAGGCCAGCTCTCTGCTGTGGCCAGGGAGTGCAGTGGAGGATGGCCCAAGTACTTGGGCCCTGCACCCCACGGGAGACCAGGATAAGTACCTGGCTCCTGCCATCGGATCAGCACGGTGCGCCGGCCACAGTGCACTGGCCGCGGCGGCCATTGGAGGGTGAACCAATGGCAAAGGAAGACCTTTCTCTCTGTCTCTCTCACTGTCTACTCTGCCTGTCCAAAAAACAAACAAACAAACAAACAAAAACAAAACAACAGCAAAAAAAACACCTGTCAACCCTGTATACTATACCCTGCAAAGCTCTCATTTTTGAGTGAAGGTGAAATAAAGACCTCCCATGACAAACAAACTGAAAGAATTTGTCACCACCTGTCCAGCCCTTCAGAAGATGATTAAGAATGTGCTACACACAGAAACATGGTCATCACTACAGAAGATGGTAAAGAAAGTAAATCTCCCAGGAAAAATACAAAGGAAATCCAAAGTAAAAAATGGGAATATTTATGGAAAAATGGTAGGGCAAAGTCATTACTTATCATTAGTCACCTTGAATGTAAATAGCCTCAACTCTCCAGTTAAAAGACACAGACAGGCTGAATGAATGCTATACCAATCAAAATACCAAAGACATTCTTCTCATTTGTAGACAAAATGATACTGAAATTTATATGGAAACACAGGAGACCTTGAATAGCTAAAGCAATCTTATAAAACAAAAACAAAGCCGGAAGAATCACAATGCCAGATTTCAAGACATACTACAAGGCATTTATAATCAAAACAGCCTGGTACTGTTACAAAAGCAGATGGATAGACCAATGGAACAGAATAGAAACACCAGAAATCAATCCAAGCATCTACAACCAACTTATATTTGAGCAAGGAGCTAAAACCAATCCCTGGAGCAAGGACAGTCTCTTCAACAAATGGTGCTGGGAAAACTGGATTTCCACATGCAGAAGTATGAAGCAGGATCCCTATCTTAAACCTTACACAAGAATCCATTCAAAATGGATGATGATACCATCAAATTATTAGAGAGCATTGGGGAAACCCTGCAAGACATTTGTATGGGCAAAGCTTTCTTGGAAATGACTCCAGAGGCATAGGCGATCAAAGCCAAAATTAACAAATGGGATTACATCAAATTGAGAAGCTTCTGTACTGCAAAAGGAACAGTCAGTAAAGTGAACAGGCAACCAATAAAATGGGAGAAATTATTTGCAAAAAATGCAACTGATAAAGGACTAATAACCAGAATATATAAAATCAAGAAAATCTACAACACAAAACAACCCAGTTAAGAAATGGGCAAAGGACTTAAACAGACACTTCTCAAGAGAGGAAATCCAAATGGCCAACAGACACATGAAAAAATGCTCAGAATCACTAGCAATCAGGGAAATGCAAATCAAAACCACCATGAGGTTTCATCTCACTCCAGTAAGAATGGCTTTCATACAGAAATCAACAAACAACAAATGCTGGTGAGGATGTGGGGGAAAAGGTATCCTAATCCACAGTTGGTGGGAATGTATACCGGTAAAACCACTATGGAAATCAGTTTGGAGATACCTCAGAAATCTGAATATAGACCCACCGTATGACCCATTCCTGGGAATTTACCCAAGGGAAATGAAATCAACAAATAAAAGAGTTATCTGCACCTCCATGTTTACTGCAGCTTAATTCACAACAGCTAAGACATGGAATCAACCTAAATGCCCATCAACTGAAGACTGGATAAAGAAATTATGGGATATGTACTCTATGGAATACTATACAGTGGTAAAAAAAAAAACGAAAGAAATCTGGTCATTTGCAACTAAATGGATGAATCTGGAAAACATCATTCTTAGTGAAATAAGCCAGTCCCAACAGGACAAATACCATATGTTCTCCCTGATCTGTGATACCTAGTAGAGCACCTAAAAGGAAATCTGTAGATGTGAAATTGATACTTTGACAAAGAAACAATGAGTTGAACACTGTTCCTCTTGACTGTTGAGGAACAGTTTTGCTTTGTTTTGTTTTTTCCTTAATAGGAAATGGAACTGTGAATGCGAGAAGGAAGAGGAGTTGGGGTAGAAGTGGGAGAGGGAGGGTGGGTATGGTGGAAAGAATCACTATATTCCTAAAGTTGTACTTACGAAATTTGTACTCATTATATAAAAGATTTCTTTGGAAAAAAATAGAGAGACCTGTAGCCATCCTGGGCCTAAAGAGGCAAGAGGTAGTGGAGTCAGATAGGCAGGCAGGCAGGCACACACACACACACACATACACACACAGTAGTGGGATGAGAGAGAAGCATGAGAGCTGTAGCTTTAAGGGAGGCCCCCCCCCTCCACTGACAGCTGTGCTTTAGCCGAGGAAGTGAAAGCGAATGTCCTGCCCCCTTCCCTTCCACTTCTCTCCAATGCTGAGCCCAGGCCAGAAGCCAGAGGGGAAGGAGCAGCCCCAGGCGAAGCTGGGAGGGTGAAGGCTCTGGCTCCAGCAGGCAGAGGGCCAGCCGGGGATGAGCACACTCTGATTCTGACCATGCATCCTCACCTGTAATAAACACCTGAAGACCCCTGGGACCACCTCCTGTCAGAGGCCTGAGAGGAGACAGAGAAGGAGACAAGAAGAGACACAGGACCGGCGCCGTGGCTCACTTGGTTAATCCTCCAGCTGTGGCGCCAGCATCCCAAGTTCTAGTCTCGGTTGCTCCTCTTCCAGCCCAGCTCTCTGCTGTGGCCCGGGAAGGCAGTGGAGGATGGCCAAGTCCTTGGGCCCTGCACCTGCAAGGGAGATCAGGAGGAAGCACCTGGCTCCTGGCTTCGGATTGGCACAGCACCAGCCGTAGCCACCATTTGGGGGGGTGAACCACGGAAGGAAGACCTTTCTCTCTGTCTCTCTCCCTCATTGTCTAATTCTATCTGTCAAATAAATAAATTTAAAAAAAGAAAGAAAAGAAGAGACACAGGAGTGGAGAAGAAATGCAGGGACAGGAAGGAGCCAGGTGGACAAAGACACGAAATGCAGTGTGCGAGGCTCTCAGCTGTGCACTGGGAAGCTCCTCAGAAAGAGTTGCTATTATCCATCCAAGGCAGAAAAATGGAAATACAGTAGTTTTTCCAAAGTTGAAAACTCTCTCAGCACCCAGACCCGCAAGAGAGTGAGGATTTCCAGGTTTCAGTTCCCTAGGCTACCCTCTCTGCATAGCCACTGATCAACAAAAGGGAGCCTTGGCAGGTGGGGGCGGGGTCCCCAAGGGAAATGAATCCTTCCAGAATAAGGTTTGATTTTTATGTCGAGAATCTAAATATCTAAATGCGGTGCTTATGAACCATCTGTCTTAAGTAACATTTTTTTTTTTTACAGGCAGAGTTAGAGAGAGAGAGAGAGAGAGAGAGAGAGAGAAAGGTCTTCCTTTTCCATTGGTTCACCCCCCAAATAGCCACCACGGCTGGCGCGCTGCACCTATCTGAAGCCAGGAGCCAGATGCCTCCTCTTGGTCTCCCATGCGGGTGCAGGGCCCAAGCACTTGGGCCATCCTCCACTGCCTTCCTGGGCCACAGCAGAGAGCTGGACTGGAAGAGGAGCAACCGGGACAGAACCGGCACCCCAACCGGGACTAGAACCCGGGGTGCCAGCGCTGCAGTCGGAGGATTAGCCTAGTGAGTGGCGGTGCCGGCCATGTCTTAAGTAACTTTATCAAACAGTTTATTTATTTAAAAGACAGTGGCAGAGGGAGAGAGAAAGACATGGAGAGAGATCTTCCATCTGTTGGTTCACTCCCTAAATGCCAATAGCTAGGGCTAGACCAGGGCAAAGCCAGGAGCCAGGAACTCCACCTGGGGCTCTCTCTCAAGTGGGTGTCAGGAACCCAAGTACTTGGGCCATCTTCCACGTTTCGCAGGTGCATTAGCAGGCAGCTGGATCAGAAGCAGAGGTGGGACTGCATCGCAGGCATTCCAGTGTGGGATGTGGGCAGGCCAAGTAGTGCCTTAACCTGCAACATTGCCTGCCCCTAAGAGTGAGTAACTTGTAAAGAAGCTTTTAAACATACAGCAGGGTTTTCATTTTGCCTCCAAGGACATGTTTCCCACTGATTCAGCATACCACACTACCTATTATGTGTTGGACACAACACTAGTCTCTCCAAGAAGGACACCTTGAGATTGAGGCCTGACTAGTGACTTGTTCAGAAAATAATTTAAATGGACACTTAGTCTGAGACAGGAAGAAAATACCTATGGTATATCAGGAAATGAACACAAATAGACACATAGTATATAATACAACCTCATTTTTCTGTAAAACAAAAAATTTTGTGTGTGTGTGTGTGTGTCTACATGCATGTGAACACACGAGAAAACCTGACAGGATTAACTTCGGGTTGATCTCATCTGCCAGTGAATTATGGGAGGGAAGACTTAGGAGGACCAGAACATCTTGATTCTGACTTGATACACTTTCATAGTGTTTGCGTTCATTTTACAATGAAGATCCATCACTTTTATTTCCATTGGCTATTCTTTTAAGTTTTTGCTGTTGTGATAAATATGCACAGCCCAGAATTTACGATCTTAGCCACTTTTACGTGTACATTCTGTAGCATTAAGTACGTTTGCACTGCTGTACAACCATCACTATCATCCCTCTCCCTACATTTTCATCTTGCAAAATGGAGATTCTTGATCCATTAAACACTATCTCCTCATTTCTCGCCTACCTCCTCATGCCTCCCAGTTCCTGGTAACAATCTTCTACTTTGTCCCCATGAATTAAACTGTTGTAAGTCTCTTATATAAGTGAATTCCTACAGTATTTGTCCTGTAATTGCTTTAGTTCACTGAGCGTACTGTCCTCAAGGTTCATCCATGTGTCCAGATTTCTTCCTGTTGAGGGCTGGACACCAGCCTGTTGTATGCTTATACTTTTGTGTTGTTCATCTGTTCATCTATCAGTGAGCACTTAGGTTGCACCTAATTTCAGCTATTACAAATAATGATGTTTGGAAACTCAGTGTCTAAGTATCTAAAGACCCTGTTTCCAATCCTTCTGGATATGCACCCTAGAGGTGGAATTGCTGGATTATATGTTAATTCTATGCTTAATTTTTTTGAGGGAGCACAAGACTGTCTTTAAAAGAGGCCATCCCCTGGAAAAGTAGTGGAATATGGCCCAAGTACTTGGCCGCAACACCCACATCAGAGACCCAAAAGAAGCTCCTGGCTCTTGGCTTCAGATCAGCCCAACCCTGGCTGTTTCAGCCATTTTGGAAGTGAACCAGCAGATAGAAGATTCTCTCTCTCTCCCTCTCTCTCTCTCTCCTCTCACTGTCTCTGCATCACTGTAACTCTGCCTTTCAAGAAATGAATTGTTAAAAAGAATCTCAGTGCTACCACATACAATATGGGTTGATGGTAGTCCCTAACCTGCAAAGCCTCTGAGGGATTAAGCAGTACATATTGGGTTTTCAGTATAGACTCTGCACAGAGTGCGAATTTGCTGTGTGCTTGCTACTTTGAGGATCAGATTCATCTCACTCTAGATTTCACCAAAACTAGACTGTAGGTCATTTACTTTTCTTGATTAAGTATCTATAATTGCTTCAAGAGACTCCTGCAATAGGGGGTTGTTGTGTGTTCATCACTGACTAAAGAAGACGTTTGGCCCCTTTCCAGGGCTTTCAAAAACTCTTGGAGCTTTTATTACTACACTGCCCCATTTACTTAGGTTGTCTCAAAACTTACTGCAGATTATTTCTCCTGGTTTCCAGATATGTGACCTCCTCTTGAATTTCAGTATCTTGATGCTAATAAATGGTTAACATTTTTCTTTCTTTGTAGCTCTGAGCAAACTAACAGCCATGAGTAATAAGTCCATTATCAAAGAAAACTTCAGAGCCACAAAACTAGTAACAGCAGAGCTTCCATGATTTATTTATTTATTTATTTATTTTGACAGGCAGAGTTAGACAGTGAGAGAGAGAGAGAGACAGAGAGAGGTCTTCCTTCTGTTGGTTCACCCCTCAAATGGCTGCTATGGCTGGCGCGCTGTGCCAATCCAAAACCAGGAGCCAGGTGCTTCCTCTTGGTCTCCCATGCAGGTGCAGGGCCCAAGCACTTGGGCCATCTTCCACTGCCTTCCCGGGCCACAGCAGAGAGCTGGACTGGAAGAGGAGCAACCGGGACAGAATCTGGCGCCCCGACTGGGACTAGAACCCGGGGTGCCGGCGCCGCAGGCAGAGGATTACCTAATGAGCCGCGGCGCTGGCCTCCATGATTTATTTAATAAATTTATAAGAGGTCTTTTCCATTGAGAAAAATAAGAAAAGCAGGGTTCTCTGAATTATTCTAATTGTCCTTGTTTTTCTCTCCTCATTGTACTTTAAAGTGGCCACTCTCATTACAAACTCTCACATTAGGATCATGGCCAACGAGATCATCCACTTCAACACAGCCAACAATGTAAGTGAAAAGTTTGCTCTTGGCCTCATCATCCACATGCATGGAGGATGGCTGTTTATGTGCATATTCCACATCTCTTCCAATGCACAAGCTTCAAATGTGGGGTCACTGTATTCATTTGCTATTCCCTTCAGTACCATCATTTCAGCAACCATATGTATGAGATTCTGCACTAGTTTCTAGAGACAACGGAATGAAAGATGTACAAAAACTGACTAAATAACTTACTAGTTACTGAATGATAATTGTAATGAGTGTCATTAAGAATTCAGGGGCCGTAAAAGTAAAAAGCCGAAGTCTTAGCAAGTCTGGAGAGCAAGAGTACCCAGGAAGAGGTGATAGGCTGTCGAGGCTTTGAAGGATGAGACTGGATTTGGGCAGAGATGAGAACAGATTTCTGAACACAGAGTATATGGTAAGGCTCTGAGATAGAAGGAAATGTAACTTATTTTTAAAATGACAATAAAACTGGGTTATTCAGTTAAGCCCCTTTGCCTGTAGTATCAGCACAAGTCTGGTAGCATATAGACTCTATCTCCTCTTAAGTCACTGTATGATGGCCTCATTCTCTTAACCAATAGAGACTCAGTGCCAGCGTGTTGCCATGCACCATTCTAAGTCCTAACGATAGACCAATGAACAAAGTCCATCTTTTTGTGGAATTTTCATTCTAGTCAATGGAGAGATGGACAACAAGCATGTTAAATAAGGACATACTTACTATTAGTAACAACTATGATTTAATATAATTAACAAACATTAATATTAGAGAATGCTAAAGAGAAAAGCAGATAATCAGGGAAAATAAGTGGAAATGGGATATGGTTGGGCATTTGGTATAGCAATTATAACTGAATCATGTATGTTTACCTTTAGTTTATCATAGACACACAAAAGAAGTAGCCCATTGTTACATGGACAATATGTTTTAGAGCCAGAATAATTATTATATAGAATTATGTTATCATGAAACCATTGTGATTTCATAATCCAACATTATAAGCTAAAAATCATTGTGAGCCGGCGCCGCAGCTCACTAGGATAATCCTCCGCCTTGCGGCGCCGGCACACCAGGTTCTAGTCCCGGTTGGGGCGCCGGATTCTGTCCCAGTTGCCCCTCTTCCAGGCCAGCTCTCTGCTGTGGCCAGGGAGTGCAGTGGAGGATGGCCCAAGTGCTTGGGCCCTGCACCCCATGGGAGACCAGGATAAGTACCTGGCTCCTGTCATTGGATCAGCGTGGTGTGCTGGCCGCAGCGTGCCGGCCGCGGCAGCCATTGGAGGGTGAACCAACGGCAAAAGGAAGACCTTTCTCTCTGTCTCTCTCTCTCACTGTCCACTCTGCCTGTCAAAAAAAAAAAAAAAGAATATAAAAAAAATCATTGTGATATCATGAAGCTACCACTGTGACATCACAATTTTGATGTCACAATAATTATTTTGATGACATAAAAAAATACTGTGATCTCATAATTCCCCACTGTGTCATATATTTAAATTGTGATGTCATAATCAATCATGCACTCATTAAATTGTTATACCATAATCTATTGTGATGTCATAAATAACCACTGTGATTTCATAGTTAATTGTGATGTTATAAAATCATTTTGTTGTCATAAGCAACCATAATTATGTCATAATCAGTTGTCATCTCATAAACAACCATTATGATTGTAAAATTAATTGTGACATCATCTTAAAAATGATTGTTATCTCAAAGTCTATTGTGATGTTGTAAAAATCCATTGTGATATCATTATGCTACCATTGTTATGTCATGACGATTTGTGATGTAAAGACCTCTTTGATTGGCAGGTGCCGCGGCTCAATAGGCTAATCCTCCACCTTGCGGTGCCGGCACACCGGGTTCTAGTCCCAGTCGGGGCGCTGGATTCTGTCCCAGTTGCCCCTCTTCCAGGCCAGCTCTCTGCTGTGGCCAGGGAGTGCAGTGGAGGATGGCCCAAGTGCTTGGGCCCTGCACCCCATGGGAGACCAGGATAAGTACCTGGCTCCTGTCATTGGATCAGCGTGGTGTGCTGGCCGCAGCGTGCCGGCCGCGGCAGCCATTGGAGGGTGAACCAACGGCAAAAGGAAGACCTTTCTCTCTGTCTCTCTCTCTCACTGTCCACTCTGCCTGTCAAAAAAAAAAAAAAAGACCTCTTTGATGTTATAATTTATTGGAATGTAGCAAACCACCAGTGTGATATCAAAAGCCTAACACTATAATGTCCTAATCAATTGTGATGTCATAAGCACCACTGTGAAGTCAAAATCTATTGTGATGAAATAAAATCATGTTGACTTCAAAATAAAAAAAAAATAAAATAAAAGAGGCCATCCCATTTCTCATTCGAAGCAGCAGTTCATGAGGGTTCAAATTACTCCATAGTCTTGCTAACATTTGTGATTTTTCTATTTGTGTTAAATTATAATAGTAATTCATAGTCATTATTAAATGCTAATTGTACACACACGAAAATAAAGTTACTCCCTTAAATAGAACTTCTCAGAAACTAAAAACTGATTGATGTCTATCCTTCCAGATCTTTTCTGTACTTTTACATTTGTAATTTAGTAAACAGAATGCTATTATGTACATACTGCATATACTGCTTGGTGAATTTTTTTCTTAAGATATAATAAACATTTCCATATCAATTTATATCATGTACTTTCTTCTGAATGCTGTGCTATGGTCTTAATGTGTCCCTCAAAATTCATACATTGAATCTTTTTTTAATAAAAGTGGACTCTTTTTTTAAAGATTAATTTATTTGAAAAAAAATTAGAGAGAGAGAGGGAGGGAGGAAGGGTGGAAGGTAGATGTCTTCCACCAGCTGGTTCACTCTCCAAGTGGCTACAACTGCCAAAGCTGGGCCAGGCCAAAGCCATAAGCCAGGAGTTTCCTCTGGGTCTCTCACATGGGTACAGGGGCCCAAGCACTTGGTTCTTCTGCTGCTGCTTTTCCAGGCACATCAGCAGAGAGCTGGATCATAAATGGAGCAGCTGGGACTGGAACTGGTGCCTATGGGATGCTGGCATTACAGACAGCAGTTTAAACTGCAATGCCACACTGCTAGCCCACATACATTGAATCTAAATTCTCAATATTAACAAGTGGGATCTGGGGCAGTCATCTGGCACAGTGGTTGAGATACCTGAATCCTCTGTTGGAGTCCCTGGGTACTAGTCCCATACTGCTTACAATTCAGCTTCCTGTTGATACGTACCCTGAGAAGCAGCTCAAGTACTTGGGTCCTTGCCATCCACATTGAAGACCTGGATTGGGCATCCAGCTCCTGTAGGTAAATGGAAAGTGAACCAGCATATAAAAGACACCCGACTCTTGCCCTGCTTTTCAAATTAGATACATATTTGAAAATATCCATTTTCAGAGATGGGAGGATCAACCAGACAGAAAATCAGCAAGGAAATAACAGAATTAATTGACAATATAGATCAAATGGATCTAACATATATCTACAGAAGTTTTCATCCTACAGTTGCAGAATACACATTCTTCTTAACAGTGCATGGAACTTTCTCTAGGATCGACCACATGCTAGGCCATAAAACAAGTCTCAGTAAATTCAAAAGAATTAAAATCATATCATGCATCTTCTCAGACTGCATGGAATGAAGCTGGAAATCAACAACTCAAGAATCTCTAGAACATATGCAAACACATGGAGACTGAACAACATACTTCTGAATGAACAGTGGGTCATAGAAGAAATCAAAAGATAAATCAAAAAATTTCTAGAGGCAAATGAAGATGACAACGAAACATATCAAAACTTATGGGATACAGAAAAAGCAGTGTTAAGGGAAAGTTTGGGGCCGGCGCCATGGCTCACTTGGTTAATCCTCTACCTGTAGCACCAGCATCCCATATGGGTGCCAGGTTCTAGTCCTGGCTGCCCCTCTTCCAGTCCAGCTTTCTGCTGTGGCCCAGGAGGCCACTGGAGGATGGCCCAAGTGCTTAGGCCCCTACACCCGCATGGGAGACCAGGAATAAGAACCTGGCTCCTGGCTTCGGATCGGCACAGCACTGGCTATAGCGGCCCTTTGGGGAGTGAACCAAGGGAAGGAAGACCTTTTTCTCTGTCTCTCTCTCTCTCTCACTGTCTATAACTCTACCTGTCAAATTTTAAAAAAAAGAGGAAAGTTTATAGCAATTGGTGTCTACACCAAGAAATTAGAAAGGCATCAAATAAATGAGCTATCAATGTATCTCAAGGACCTAGAAAAACAATAGCAAACCAAACTTAAAACCAGTAGAAGAAAAGAAATAATTAAAATTAGAGAAGAAATCAACAAATTGAAACCAAAAAACAATATAAAAGATTAGCAAAATTATGAGCTTTTTTTTTGAAAAAAAATAAACAAAATTGAAATACCACTGTCCCAACTAACCAAAAAAAGAGAGGAAGACTAAAATAAAAAAAATCAGAGATAAAAAGGAAGTATAACAGACATCACAGAAATAAAAAGGATCATCAGGAATTATTACAAAGAGCTGTATGCTAACAAATCAGAAAATCCAGAAGAAATGGATAGATTCCTGAACACATGCAACCTACCTAACTTGAGCCGTAAAGACATAGAAAACCTAAACAGACCAATAACCAGGATGGAAATTGAGTCAGTAATAAAGACCCTCCCAACAAAGAAAAGCCCTTGTTCTGTCAACTTCACTAATGAATTCTACCAGAAATTTAAAGGAGAACTAATTCCAATTCATTTTAAGCTACTCAAAACAATTGAATGAGAGGGAATCCTCCCAAACTCCTTCTATGAAGCCAGCATCACCTTAATTCCCAACCCAGAAAAAGATACAAAAGTGAAGAGACCTATATACCAATATTCTGGATGAACATAGTTGAAAAATCCTCAACAAAATATTAGCTAATTGAATCCAACAACACATCAGAAAGATCATTCACACAGACCAAGTGGGATTTATCTCTAGTATGCAGGGATCGTTCAATATTCACAAATCAATCAACGTGATACATCACATTAACAAACTGAAGAAATCATATGGTTATCTCAATGGATACAGAGAAAGCATTTGATAAAAAATAACATCTGGGGGCTGGTGCTGTGGCATAGCTGGTAAAGCTGCTGCCTGCAGTGCCATCATCCCATATGGGCACCCATTCAATCCTGATTGCTCCACTTCCAATCCAGCTCTCTGCTATGGCCTGGGAAAGCAGTGGAAGATGGCCCAAGTCCTTGGGCCTCTGCAACTGTATGGGAGACCTGGAGGAGGTTCCTGGCTCCTGGCTTTGGATTAGTATAGCTCTGGCCATTGTGGCCAATTAGAGAGTGATCCAGAGGATGGAAGACCTCTCTCTCTCTCTCTCTCTGCATCTCCTTCTCTCTCTGTGTAATTCTGACTTTCAAATAAATAAATAAATCTCTTAAAAAAACACACAACATCCTTTCATGATGAAAACTTTAAGCAAACTGGGTAAACAAGGAACATTCTTCAACACAATCAAGGCAATTTATGACAAACCCATGGCCAGCATCCTATTGAATGTGGAAAAGCTGGAAGCATTTTCCCTAAGATTCGGAACCAGACAAGGATGCCCACTCTCACCATTGCTATTTAATATAGTCCTTGAAGTTTTAGCCAGAGCTATTAGGCAAGAAAAAGAAATCAAAGGGATACAAATTGGGAAGGAGAAAGTCAAACTATCTATTTGCAGATGACATGATTTTATTATAGGGGAATCCAAAAGACTCCACTGAGACTATTGGAACTTATAGAGGAGTTTGGTAAAGCGACAGGATATAAAATCAACACATAAAAATCAATAACCTTTGTATACAGAGGCAATGCCATGGCTGAGAAAAAAAGTTTTAAGATCAATCCTGTTCACAATAGCTGCAAAAAGAATTAAATATCTGTATGATGAAAATTAAGAACATTAAAGAAAAAAGTAGAAGAAGACACAAAAAAATGCATAAAATATTCTGTGTTCATGGATTGGAAGAATCAATATCATCAAAATGTCCATCCTACCAAAAGCTATTTATAGATTCAATGTGGTTCTAATCAAAATACCAATGACATTCTTCTTATGATGCTTAAATTCATACAGAAACACAAGAGACCCCAAATAGCTAAAGCAATCTTATGCCATAAAAAACAAAGCTGGTGGCATCACAATACCGGATTTCAAGAAACACTACAAGGCCATTATAATCAAAACAGCCTGGTACTGTCAAAAAACAGATGCATAGACCAATGGAGCATAATGGAAACTCCACAAATGAATCCACACATTTACAACCAAATTATCTTTGATAAAGCTGCTAAAACCAATCTCTGGAGCAAGGACAGTCTCTTCAACAAGTGGTGCAGAAAAACTGAATCTCCACAGGCAGAAGTATGAAATTATACCTCTACCTTACAGCTTACACAAAAATCCACTCAAAATGGATCAAAGACCTAAATCTATGATCTGATACCATCAAATTACTATAGCTCACTGGGGAAACTCTGCAAGACATTAGTATAGGCAAAGACTTCTTGGAATAATCCCCAGAAACACAAGCAATCAAGGACAAAATTAACAAATGGGATTACATCAAATTGAGAAGCTTCTGTACTGCAAAAGAAACACTCAACAAAGTAAAGAGGCAACTGACAGAATGGGAGAAAATATTTGCAAACAATGCAACTGATAATGGATTAATATCTAGAATCTACAACTATCTCAAGAAATTCAACTACAATAAAACAAACAGTCCAGTTGAGAAATGGGCAAAGGACTTGAACAGGCATTTTTCAAGAGAGGACATTCAAATGTCCAATAAACACTTGAAAAAATGTTCAGAATCACTAGCCATCAGGGAAATGCAAATCAAAATCACAGTAAGGTTTCACCTCACTCCAGTTAGAATGGCTCTCATGCAGAAATCAACAAACAATAAATGCTGGTGAGGATGTGGGGAAGAAAATACCCTAATTTCCTTTTGATGGGAATGTAAAGTCATGTAGCCACTTTGGATTTTTTTTGACAGGCAGAGTTAGACAGTGAGAGAGAGAGACAAGAGAAAGGTCTCCCTTTTCCATTGGTTCACCCCCCAAATGGCCGCTACAGCTGGCACGCTGCGCCAATCCAAAGCCAGGAGCCAAGTACTTCCTCCTGGTCTTCCATGTGGGTGCAGGGCCCAGGCACTTGGGCCATCCTCCACTGCCTTCCTGGGCCACAGCAGAGAGCTGGACTGGAAGAGTAGCAACTGGGACAGAACCGGTGCCCCAATCGGGACTAGAACCCGGGGTGCTGGTGCCACAGGAGGAGTATTAGCCAAGTGAGCCATGGCGCCAGCCTATGTAGCCACTTTGGAAGACAGTATAGAGGTATCATATGATATGATATGGTATGATACAACCATCCCATTCCTGGGAATTTGTCCAAACCAAAAGAAATCAGCATATGAGTTATCTATACTCCCATGTTCCTTACAGCAGAATTCACAATAGCTAAGATGTTATATTAGCAATCAACCTACAAGTCCATCAGCTAATGACTGCATAAAGGAATTATGGGATATATACACTGTGGAGTACTACTCAGCTGTAAAAAAAACGAAATCTGTCTTTTACAACTGGAAGCCATTATACTCTGTGAAATAAGCCAGTCCCAAAAAGACAGATACCATGTTTTCTCTGATTCAAGGAACTAATGGAGTACCTAAAATATAATGTATTGAAGTGAAATGGACATTTTTATATTCAATGGCTTTTTATAGCCCTTGTCTCTTCTGATGAGAAATAGTGTTTTTTTTTCTTCTTACTCTTTGTTGAACTCTTTTACGTATTATAGGGTTAACTTTATGATCATTAAGTAAACTGAAAACAGATCTTTGTAAAAATTAAGAGTATGAATGGTAAGAAAGGAAGGAGGAAGAAAGGTTAGCATGTGGGCAGGAGGGAAGGTAGAGTGGGAAGTATCGCTATGTTCCTAAATCTGTAAATATGAAATACATGAAACTTGCATAACTTAAATAAAATTTTGAAAAAACATCCTCATTTTGTACTCAATTTTCTGGATATTCCAAGGGCAAATGTTGACATAACTTATCTATGTAATTTAATTCTGCACTTCATCATTTCAACCAAAAAATTAATTTTTCTCACTGCACTTTTACTATAGAATTTTTTTAAAAATTTGCTCAACTCTGCCTTTTTTTTATTATCATTTCCAATTTTATTTTTTTCTTCCCCCCCATAACATCCCTCCAACCCGCAACCCTCCCCTTTCCCACTCCCTCTCCCCTT